GTTCCGTTGCATCGCATTTGTTAATACTTGTTTTTAGAGTGGATCGTCGCGGTATGCATGTTGTGTGTGTTCATTTGAGATTTATCAAGGGTTTGCAATACCATTGAAGTTAATTTGTTTTAACAAGAAAAAATAAAAATTATTTTTATTAGTCACGTTTGAATAAGAAACAGATGCACATACAAATGCAAACCTAGTAGTAAAACAGAATTGCTAGCAGCATAAAAGCTGATCGAATGGAAAAAAGAAACAAATCAAATAAATTTAGTAAATGTCAAGGTGCATTTCACACTGTCAAACGACACACACACACACACACACACACACACAAACATATACATACGAATGGGGGCGCGAGCGCGCGCGCAAACAATCAAATAGACAGACAGCCGGACAGATGAACGGACAGACAAATCGATGCAGCAGCATTAACTCCAGCCATCTTTATGATAAAAATTCGAGCTAAAGAAGAATCAAGAAAAGTAAACAACAATAATAATAACTGCGTATTTTTTTCTTTTTTCTTTTTCCTTCTCAAAAGAGAGGGTGTAGTAAGCAAACAACACGTCTGCCTTCAATCATGCATTCATTCATTCATTCATTCATTCATTCATTCATTCCTTTACTCATTCATTCACTCACTATCATCAAAACAGAATAAACACTTTGCAATTATTATTTTGCTTTTTTAACTGCTTCTTCTCTTTAGTTCCTGGTACGTATTAAAACCCAATCATTACTTATTGCTTCCAATTACAATTTCAATTTTAATGATTTTCAAGTTAGTGAAATAATTGTTGCAACACCACCTCGCATAATAATTACATCAGATAAAGCCAGCAATCTGCTTCTGTTCTTCTGCGTAGCACTAACGCAAACCACTACCAAAAATCTTTCCCTGCTCGTCCTTCGCGCGAATTGCTTGTGTGTAACTTTGCGAGCAATCAATGAAAGACGTACTCAAGTCCTATCGGACGTTTCGCTGTAGCTTGTCTGCCTTGTCATTAGAAAACCGTTTCGAATTCGTCTTCTGCTTGCCGCGATCCGATCACAAATTGTTTTACGATCTACTCGCTGACCCTTTACAATAAATGCAAGTTAATCTCTCCTCTTCTTCATGTCTTCTTTCATTCTACTTATATGTGTGTCGTTACTCATAATCATGCCGCAGGCCAGCCCTGTAATATATTGAACTTGCTTTCATTCTCCCCTTTTGGCCTCTGTCCCCCTCTTCCCATACGAAGACACAATCGTACCAATTGCCATCCAGTTAGCCAATGTGCATCAATAACGAAATACGATCATCATTATCAATTATTTCGGTTAGCAATAAAAATCTCATAAACTTTTCATGGATGTAATGTTTATTTAAAAATCAGACAAAAAAAAAAATTCTCCTAAAATTATATGTTGATGACGTTTTGAACTGAATGAGTGAGTGAGTGAGTGAGTGAGTGAGTGAGTGATTGCGAAAAACAATTTTCGAAAAGTTAAGATTTATCGTTACGTTCACTTCACAATGCCCAGCCTACTCTTCAGTCTTCAGTCGCTTTACTCTAATTGGATATTTATATTTTCTCAAGAAATATGTTCCATCGCAAAGCTGTGAATAACAATTGATTTAATAATAATAACTGTTTTAACAAACATTCGACTTTTGCACGCTTTCGCAACAATTGTGTGAATTTAACTTGGTTGACTTGGTGTCTCTCTTGGAGTTTTACTTGAAATTTTCTTACTTTTACAAAATAATTGTTGCGGTTACATGAGCTTTACTTTATTATAAACTGATAAGCGACAATTCATTTTCATTATAATATAATTGATTTCATTTTCCTCTCTCTGTATTGATCTCGAATGCAGCATTTCCGTACATAGTATGCGGTTTTTCACACACATATCATTTTCATTGAAATTAAGAAATTGTTCAAGTCTGGTCAGTTAGTTAGTTAGTTAGCTCGATTAGCTGGTTCTCTCATGAAAAGCAGAAAAATTCTAATGAAAAGAATCAATTAATTAATTAATTTTAATGAATTGTTTTAATTATGTCATAAATTTTCCCTGAAGAAGTTAATCTCTTCAATGTTTATTTTGTTACTGTCATTGCGAAGCAATCAATTATCAAAACACACCAATTCCTAATAAAAATTCAATAAATACACTTTTTTTTTTCTTTTTTTTTTTCTTTTAAGACGTTTGACTAAAAACAGAGATAATTAATCAAATGTGCTATTGATTAGCTTTTAAAGCATAACACCAATTAATTAGCCGGGTATTATGTATAAATGGTACTCGGCGAAACCGGTAACACAATCTTTTTAATGCTCCTAACTAATAAAAGAGATACCATAGTTTTAAACTAAAAGGTTTAAATTGTTATCAAAATTCGATGAAACTGTTAAATTAAGTTTAATTTAATAATAGCTTTCGGAATTACAACAACTCTTTATATAGGGAACAAATTATTGTTTTATGAAATACGCAATAAACAATGATAGGCGGAATAGAAATAACGCGCTTAGGCGGTGGTTCGACCTGACTTTTTCCATAGGAATATTTTCTCCACTGTGAACGAAGGCTGCTAAGGTCTCGAGGCGACTAAATCGACGACATCGATATTGATATGTTTCTCCCCTCAAATAAAGGAGAAAACGGCTTAACGGCTTTGCTTCACGGAGAAGTCGGACATATCAGGAAGCTCTCGGAAGATACGTTCCGATCTATCTGAGAATAAAATACACCGAGATTGAACTGATATCCGACTTTTGGTTAAAAATTTCTTGCAATGCAAACAATCTTAGTTGAGATACTTTCCTTCAGTTCAATCCTTAAGCATTTTAGATATATATATATATAAGGGTATATAAGGACATAGTTTGAAATTACGCGGATAGCAAAAGGAAATTGTGTCATCAAATTGCATTCGGTAAATTTCATTTCACCAATTAAGCCGTCCATCCGTCCTTGTCGGATTTACGCATAACTCTTTTTCATTATGAATATATATTTGCATATTTTTGTCATTTTGTCTAATCGTTTCGTTACAAACTAATTGCATATTACGCATAGTCTATGTTTGTCATATATACGAGCATATAGCTAAAGTGGTTCACACAGTTAACTGGTTAAATCAGTACCGAACGGTAATATCAATTTTTATATAGTACATAGAACATAACATTTATGCTTCGGTACAACTTTGTGTACCGAGTGAT